TAATTCCTTGATTTAAACACTCAGATGTTTCGTAGCCACGTCTCTTTCACATCAATTTCCTCTGTTCGAAAGTGGTTTTTCACTAAATTCGCCTTAATTTAAGTCTCGTTAATTTCCATAATACCTTTTACTAGTACTGATCGCACAGCATTAAGTTCCTTTAATAAGTCAGATATATTGTAATTCTACTGGCCATTTTCGAGTTGACTCGAGCTTCTGTCTTAAAACGACGCGAAGTGTGACGCCTTTTGATATGAAAATTAATTTCAAAGGAGAAAGGTTTGAGGATTGACCTCGTTTTGAAAAGTGATCGCATGAAATGGCTATTATGGTAGGTCACAATAATTGCTGTGAAAGAAAAAGGAAATCAGTTTTAATCATTCAGTGCCTGATTTCTTTTTTGCAGATATAAATGAATGTGAAGCAGGAAAGCACAATTGTCATGCAAACGCCAGTTGCAAAAACACTAAAGGATCCTTTGTGTGCACCTGCAAGCCAGGGTATTCTGGGGATGGAATTAACTGCACAGGTGAAAACAATACTTCGGTCTTCTTTATAATGAATCTTTTTCTAATCAGCTCCATTTACCTCGCATTAGAGCCAAGTTCAGCCCCCCCCCCCAGGGGGGGGGACATAAGCATATGAAAGGGGTGGGGATGCTTGTCGGAAATTTTGAATTAAACCCCTACAGGAGACCGATCTGGGCGGGGTCGAAGCTTTTTTTGATCCCTAAAAGAGACCATGTTAAAACACAGACAACATATATATTCTTATATTTTTTTTGGCGTGCAACCCTAAACGAGACCTTCACGGCGTTTTGCCCAGAACACCTTAAGTGAGACCAGACTCCGAAATTTACACCCATAACCGAGACGACGAGCATCCCCACCGCTTTCATATGGAGTCGCTCCCCGGGGTTCAGCCACAAGGTAGTATGCAGCTCAGTCCCTGGTAGTGCAGTTTGTTCTTTTCAGCTGAATAAGTATGGAAATGCTCTTGCATTATAAAAGTTTGTCATTTGCAGTATCTGTATGCAATTTTAGCCTTAAACATCCTTGAGATATTTAAGTTTTTTTTTATGTATTATTATATTGTGCCCATGCAAGATTGTCATGTCCGAACACGCATTCACGCTGGGTGAGCTTACTACATTTAATTATATCAGACCGATGTACACATTTCCGTCTTTAGAGTATGAGCGGAAACGTGTCCTTTTTATCCCTCCTTCTGTTGGCAATTTTTCTTTACAAGGGAAGTCATCCTGTATTCTTTAATATCTTGCTTCCTTAGGTCTCCTTAATCCTCTATCTATACACTTGATGTCATTACTGAATTTCTCACCTGCTCAATATATAGCAAGCCAGAAGTCTCCCCCTCCCTCTCTCTTCTGATCGTACCCAATCCTAGAAAATAAAAGATTAAGTAAATCAGTTTTGATGATTCAGTCCTGCATCTGATTTGCAGACGTAAACGAGTGTATAACAGGAGAACACAACTGTGACGCTAACGCTAATGCCGTCTGCAATAACACTGAAGGATCTTTCGAGTGTACTTGCAAGCCAGGGTATTCGGGGAACGGAGTTAACTGTACAGGTGATTATATTTCAGTAAAGACCTGGATCGTCCTAATGTTAAGGCTATTAATTCAGTATTATATTGTCTCGAGTTCACGCGTTTGAGTCCCTGAGTAGAATTCAAAAGAGACATTTCCAAATGTACAAATAAGAGTTTGAAGTCAAGCCTTTGATCGACAAAGTGATCGTTGTCATAATTATTTAGCAATTACTAAATGAGGCTGAGTAGGCTGCATGTGAAGAATTATGTAGAGCGAAGAAGATGTTATCCTCCATCTTGCGGTGACTCAATCCAGCTTGATCGAAGTTTAGTACATCTGATCAATCCACTGAAAGCGTTAGTTCTCCCAGTAAAGATAGATCATAGACAATAAAATAATCAAATCGCAACCGGCTGAAGGCTGAATTGTTTAATTATCTACAATACAATAAAAAGTATAAAATAATGGTAAAAGACAAATTACAATTTTGTTAATTAGGAATAATGATAATGAAGAACTGCAAAAGAAAGGAAAAATAACGTAATAACACTTAATCTTACATTATAATAAGATGTTTGGACGACCGCACATGGCTGGTTTGAACGAATTTTTGCAGCGGTTTGTGCGAAAGGGGGGCAAGTCGTAAACTCTCTCCTGTCTGGTATTGTAGTAGCCTTGGTGGTTCGGAGAAAGCAGGCAAGCGAATTTGTGCTGATCCGAGGATATACTATTAAACAGCTTAATATACTGATCGTTACGCCTATCATATAAAGTGATGAGACTAAAACTGACTAAACAGTGTTTGTATGACTTATCAGGCGCTATTATGGAGAGCGCTCTTTTTTGTACACGCTCACTTAGACAGTCGGGTAAGCGACGGTGGAAAATGGGCGAGCAATATTCTAGAACGGGTCTCATTACTGTACAGTGGAAGTCAACAATATCTTTACAGCTCAAGCTGAACCAAAAAAATACAAACCCTTATTTACTTCCTCAATAGTTTCATTTATATAAACGTTCCACTTGACATTGTTAGACAGAGTTATGCCTTAATTTTGGCACTATTTAAAACAGCTAGTTCCTTCTCATCGACCACAACAGGGGTGGAGAAGAGTCATTGTCATTGTTGCATTTGTCAGCGTTTAGTTGCGAGCATTCTCACCTGACCAGTCCTCGACGGCACTAACTGTGCTTTGAATGTCACCCTGTGCACCTTGCGGGAAAAACTCAGTAATAGAAGTATCATCAACGTACTTCCATTTGTCCACACTGGGAACCCTGAGGAAAATAACCATGCGCCTAAATTGGCTCCTTGAGGCACACCAGCGGGCAGGGGGCCGCACGCAGAAATACATTCTCCAGACAACTTAACGCGTTGTTATCTATGTGTTACGAAGTCGGCCACCCAGAAGGCAACAGCGCGAGGGATAGATAGGCCGAAGCCTTGCGCACAAGCAGTGTGTGGTCGATGAGATCGAAGGCCTTCCTACAATCGAACAGGATGACTCTCACAGCAGCCCCAGACCCGTCGGTGGCTTGCAACCAGGTATGTAGCATGGACGTCAGGGCGTGTAAGGTAGAGGAAGCTGGGATGCCACGATACTGATTTGGATCAATCACCTCCAGAACCGCGGGGCCGACATGGAGAACGACGATAAAGTCCTATGCAAATTTAGATATTACGGGGGTTAGGAAGATCGAACGAAGATGTTTGTTCATGTCGGATTTTAGCTTGGGGGGCAGGCACCATATCGGCTATCATCAAGGATGATAGACGTCCCTGCTCCGCGAAACCGCTGTTTAGCACAGCTGTAACTGGTCTAGCAAGGATGTCTGCATACTTCTTCAACAATCAGTTGGGTACCCCGTCGCGTTCAGCCACCTTCTTAGGGTTAAGCCTTTTGAAAGCGGATAAAACGGCGGGCTCGGAAAGGGTCAGAGGTGACAAATCCTTACTGTGTGATGGGAAGGATTCAAGCCTTGAAAGGACTCTATTGGTTGTAGGGATGCAGAGTTGATTTGGTTGGCAATCTCTTGCTCAGACAGAAGAGCGGAACCCTCGATCTTTAAGTTGGCAAACAAGGAGTCTGAGCCAGGAGCGAGAGCCATGCCAGCGATCTACTTGACCGCACTCCACCAATGGTTAGGCCTGGATTGCCTTAGGTGGTTTACTTTCGAAGCGTAGTAGTTGCGATTGACGACATTAGGGTAGTGTCGCAAAAGCTGAGTGTCCCCAGTACTAAATGCCCGTTGGCGGAGACTTATGAGATGTTCGAATTCAGGTGACACGCATGGGGGGTCAAATACATGGACTCTGGACTACTTAATAGGCATGATGAAATCAAGACCGGTCAAGATGAAGTCCGTGAGTAGCTGTAGCTTGTCCTCACAGTTATTGGCCAGATCCACAAGCGACCAGTCGATAGTGCAAAGGTAACCGCCAAGCTCAAGCTTCTTGCTCGCGAGCGTGTGACTTCTCGAGATTTGTTTCCTACTCGGCCTTCCGCGGGTAGCTCTTGTTTTATGATTTAAATTGACAACGTTGTGATCGGACAAAACAAACGGTGATAACATTTGTACAGAATTTTTATCGTACAACTGAGGCAAGTTGGTTAACACAAGATCTAAGGTCCAGTCAAGTCTAGTCGGGGTGTCTACAATTTGTCTTAACTTGAATTGAGATGTAAGGCGTCTGATATTTAACCTCAGTGTTAAAGCTGCCACACAGGAGAATGCCGCAGCTTAAAAATTGACCTCCAACAAGAGAGAATGAATTAAGGAGAGAGAATCCCTGTCCCCTGTGATAGTTGTTTTTAAATCTATTTAAAGTTCACGCGCGTGTTGCGAAGGTATATTTTTGTATGCTGTTTCTGTGACCCGCGTGGTCTACTTTCACGTGAACGTGACATGTTTCGCCGCCAAAGATTTGAATTTTGACAGCCGTTTAGCAATTGGCGCACCATAGGTTCTTAAAAGTTTTTGACATATTTTTCATCAGCGCGTTCCGCTCATTATTTTGGAATGCATTTCGTTTAGAACGGATTGCAGTATTGGAGTCAAAATTTAACTTTGACATTTAAGATTGAGATTTTCTAACGGGCGATAGCCTCATTCAAAGGAAAGAATATTCAATATGTACTGACGCCCCGTAAAACCAAACGGCAAAAGTAATGACATGCGAAATAAAAAACATTCAATAAGCTGCTGGCTTTAGTCGATTATGCTAAGGTGCAAGATATTTTTTCTCCATTTTCAGGAATATTCGCGTTCAGAAACAGCACACTTGCTTTTTAGAATTATTTCTTAGAGTTTCAAACTGTATTACGTCTTCTTAACTTTTAATACTTGCGATGAATATTTTCACTGTGGGAAAATATATCAGGTCACGATGCTTCAAACAGTCGCTACATTGGGTGCCAGAGACTTTTCATACGCGGTTTCCGGTTTCTGTCATGTCTTTATAGTGACCGGCGAGCCTACATTGCACTTGCCTAGATTACATTCGTCTAACGCGTCCAAGATTCAAATGTTTGGCGACCAAAACTGTCATGTTAGAACCCATTTAGAACGTATTTCTCGTTACGTGTCCACGTTTAGATCCAAACGTTGCGTGGACGTCCCTGGAAGAGACAGTTGTCGCTTACAACTGTATACTCGAGGTTGTTTAATATATAGTGTTATAGCGAAGACCACAATGGACAATTTTCGTCATGTCGGAACCTGACCGCTTTTTCCGGCGATTTCCGCAAGCCAAGACCGTTTAGCTCGTTCGCAGCTACTTTGGCCAGATTTTTCCTCGTAGAAATCTTCTAACTTGTCGACGAAAGTAATAACCAAGCTCACATCTCACATCGCTTGCTGTGCGTGATCGGCAGTGAAATGAATTCCCCGTCAAGTTAAAAATTACATGACGCCATTCTAACAGACCAATGAGGTGGAGTCCTTAAAATAACCACGCAGTATGACGCAGAACCAAAAAAAGTTGAAAATAATTTTCATGGAAAGAGGGTCGTGTGTGAGGGATTCGATCCCTCAGATCATTCTCTCTTGCCTCCAATTGATGTTAGAGTTGTCTCTAGATGGTTAAGCTTAGCCATGTCGTTGACAGCCATGTTCACATTGTTTCAAAATCAGGATCTTGTAAATAGTCCAGAGACTTGAACTTGACGTTGTTTTAATATAAAAGCCGACTCCACCGTGATGGTCAGTAGTACGGTTCCTTGCAGTGAAATTGTACCATGGGATGTGGAGATGGTTTTCGCTGATAGAGTCTCTTAGCCAAGTGAAAAACGCTAAATCAGGGTTTACATCCGAAATCACACATTTCACTTCGTCGATCTTTGGAGCAAGAGACATGCTGTTGTCCAGGAGTAGACTAAAACCGTATTCGTTGAGTTTTTTTGTGATCGTGGGCCCGGTTTAAATCCGTGACAAGTTTCGAGGAGTTTCGTCCACTTGCGTTGGAAGCTTGTGGGCGATTCCGAGATAAAACCACCAGGATGGAACGTTTGTTTACGTTGCAAGGGCAAGACGTGTCACCTTTTTTACAACAAAAAGGGAGCAGAAGCAAAATAGCTTCATCTTGTAGATCTTTCCTTCCACAAAGATTTGCAGCCAAAACACCGCTTGTAGTGTTATTCAGACCTGCTGTGTTGCCACTCTTCTATGGTGGCTCAATCCTGCACGACACTCACGAGGCGTAGATTTCGAACGCGAAATACCGAGGCTAGATAGACGTCACCATAGGTCAGAAGCAAGTGAAGTTGACCTTGAAATTGACGATGGTAAGGACATCAGAACAGATCTGGTGCAGATAAGAGCCATCTAGAATTGGTCAGTCATGTTAGAGAGGTGATATGCAGCGTGGAAAGGCAAAATAGGCCAATAATAGCGCGGAGCAATTTTATACGTGTGCTGCCTATCGGACGCACATCTGAAGGATCAGAGTTAGTGGAGCCACCAAGCACACCTACTCCTCCTCCCACCCCTGCTACGTGTCGGTCCAAGAGTGCTACTTAACCATCACATGTAGAGACTGCTTAAAAAAAATGGGCTTAAACCATCAACTCTCGCCTTAATAGCATTGAACAGTGCTTCTAACAGTTTCGTTTCTTTTCTTAAACTTTTGATCACTTAGAGAGTTTCAACAGTTTTCTTGTACTAAGTTTTCTTATCAGCTTGTGTATCATTACATTTGTTTTCAGGTCGGCAATTCGTACTGAGCCCGCAGTATGTATGCGGTTGCTGTAAAACCAATGCGTTTGTTAATTAATAGTTCTCTGGAGTTGATCCACCATCTTGTGTGCAGTTGTCCTATTTCTAGCTGTTTGTCCAAGAACATAACAATATCAATTTATCGCTTTTATCTCTCTTTCTTTAGGGAGGGCCAAAATGAAAAATCCGGTCGGATTTGTTGTGTTCGCTACAAGTTTACTTCACAAAATCATGTTAACAAACCCCCTTTACTTGTACTAACCAGCCTTTTGTACTTTTACATCACTTCTATAAGTAAACAGTACTTTTAGGCACCAAATTTGTCCAGGCAATACTCAGTAATTATTGGGAGTTTCAAGAAACGGCCCTTTGAGGGAAACAATCAACTTCTTAAAATTGACAGAGCCCTTCTAAAGGATTTCTAGAAAAGGCACACAAATTTGGTGATGGCTTGGAGTGATTACCGGAAAGCATATGACATGATATCACATAGCTGGACTATCGAGTGCTTGGAGATGTTTGAGATAGCTGAGAATGTGAAAAAGTTTATTATTGATAGTATGCAGACACGTAAAGTAGAGTTATCATCATCAGGCAAGAGGTTGGAAGTCATTCACATTTTAGAAGAGGAATTTTCCAGGGCTATTTGTTTTTTGCATGATTCCATTAACAATGGTTTCGAGATAATCAAGAGCAGGTTATGATCTTGCGAAGCATTTAAGGTTAACCATCTTTCTATGGACGACTTGAAATTGTTTGGGAAAAGTGAACACCAAACAGATTCGTTGGTGCAAACTGTACAATGACTTAGTGAGGATATTGGAATTTAGTTTGGGTTGAGAAAGTGCAGTGCGTTGGTAATGATAAGGCAAAAGAAAGTTAAGTTTTGAGGGTATAACTTTTTTTTTAAGGGCGAACAATGGGAGAAATTGGTGAAGAAGGGTATATATAACTGGGGATTTTTCAGGCCGATCTAATAAACGAAAAGGAAATGAAAAAAAATTGCAAGAGGATAAAAAACAAGACTACGACAAATGTTGAAATCAACATTGAATGGAAAGAATAAGGTTATGGCGAATTAACACCCGCGCAGTGTCAGTGCTGATCTGAGGTGTGGAGCAGGTAAGATGAACTAAGGAAGAACTGAAAACATTGGATACAGTGACTAGAAAGGCATTGACAATGAATGGTGCTTTCCATTCAAAATGCGATGTTGATAGGTTGTATGTTTCAAGGGAAGATGGAGGCTGGGGACCAATAAGCGGTGAGGGGTTAGTATGAGAGGTGATGAAAACAGTTTGAGGTGGTATGTGAGGAGTTCTTGGGATGTTTTACTGCAAGGGGTAAGGGTTACTGGTAAAATTAAGAGTGAAGAAACTGTCAGTAAAGAAGAATTCAAGACATCTTGGAACAGTGAGCTGAAACTGGACCGTTAAAAGGAGAAAAAGGCTGCATGGTCAATTTTTAAGAGGAATACCCGGAATAACACGTGTAAGAAAACTTAGAGCTGGTCAAGTAAAGCAGCCTGGAAGATCCAAACAGAAGCACTTATTTGTGCAGGCCAGGAACAAGCTCTCAAGACCAACCATATAACTGATATCATATTGACAAGACCGCGCGAATCCCCCTTATGTAGGTAATTTGGCGAGAAAGGCGAGAGTGTAAACTATATTGTCTGGTACCTAAAAAGGTAGCCCAAATTTAATATAAACAGACATGACAATATTGCAAAAGTAGTTCGTTGGAAGTTATGTGAGAAATATCATGTGCAAAAGAGGGAAAAGTGGTACGAACACGTGGCTGACAGTGTGAGTAAAAACGATGAAGTTAAACTAGTGTGGGATAATGAACATCCAATGTGATCACGTCATCAATGCTACAATAGACATGATCATGTGGTTGTAAACAAACAGGAGAGGGAGTGCGCCATTGTCGATATTGCTGTAGCAGGGGATAAGAGAATTGTTGAAAAGGTTAAACAATATCAGGAGCTTAACGGGAAATTACAAGAATGTGGAACAAGAGAACTGTGTAGGTGATACAGATTGTTGCAGGATTATTCGCAAGTGTGACGAACAACTTGGAGAAGTGGCTGGAAAGTTGAACATAAGAATTAGTATTTCATTGGCCCCCAAAAACTACACTACTAGGAACAGAAAGGATTTTAAGAAAAGTATTAGAGTTCTCGAGTAAGGAGTCGAGATCTAAGGGTCCTTTTTTCATGGGTTATGACTCGCTCCCTTAGCAAGTACAGCGCTGTGAGATCAGCCAGTGCACAAAGCAAGAAATAATAATAATAACAATAACATAACAATAATAATAGTAATTTGAACAATAATTATAATACTTATATAGTTAATAAGGGATATAGGACTGAATGGAGTCAGGAGACCACATAGCTGGAGTCCGATTTGTTTAATCATGAGTAACAATTAATCATAACTAAACAAAATTTGTGACAATGTCAGATTTGCTGAACTTTAAAACACAAGATCTAGCAAGAGCTTTTTGCGGCTAGAAGAAAACATAAAACAACAACAACCAAAACAACAACAACGGCAACATCGAAGAGCGCAGGCGGCATGGCGTTATTTAGTCTGGGGCCTTATGTTAAAAATGTCACTCCCGTGAAAATTTCATGATCATTTTAGTTTCTTTGCTGAAACGCATTGTTTAGAGCATGCAGATTGCAAAAAACTTTGTCACCAATTTTTTTAGACTTAGTGATGTCATCCATATGCAAATTAGATCTGACGTCATTATTCAGTGTCACAAACTTTCATATAAAGGCAACAGAGAAATATAGATTTCATTTATGTAGTCTCAATCGTCGAAATAAATATTCTGTAATTAAAAATAGTAATTTCCAACTGTCTTCTAATTAAACAAACCCACAGATAATCTTTTCGGTCACTTTATTTTAATAAGTACATTGCGATAAGCATTCGCTTTATCTGCTTTAAGCAGAAATTTTTATAAAATGAAAATTTTTGCACTCTCTGAGGTTCTTTTAATAGTGCTTTTTTGTTTCTCTTTTCTTTTTGATGTGGATTTATTTTTTTTACATTGACTGTACATCGTGTAATAAAGTAATGCAAGAGGAGAAGTGACTGGGCTCCCTGTGCTTAAAGAACAAAATAACTTATTCCATTTTTATTTACTCTGACAAGTATTTATCAACATCATGGATGACATGTCTATTATTCATTATAAATAAATAAAGTTCACATGCCAAGATACAATACAAATCATACAGGATATATAAGGCTGCATTTCCACATTTCAGCCATTTTGGTCTTTGGCTTTAATCGGGTCGGCCATTTTATATTTTTCTCCAACTTCTTGAAGGTTGTGTGCAGCGAAAATGGTATGTACAAAGCTTAATTTACGATAAATTGCCTATTTCATCGTAGTGAAAAAAATGGAATCGAAAACAAATTTCAATATATCCGAAAATGGCGTTTCTTTTATGTTTTTAAATTCTTCTCTTTTTACCCACAATGCATTGTGCCAAGATTGTCTTAATTCGTTAAAATATCTTTATTTTTAGATGATTTGGCAAAGCTGACTGGCAAAACATTATGGCTGTCGGTCAAATATATTGTTGCATATTGTGTTTTGAGTATGCATTTAATGAAAATGCTGAAACTGATTCAATATCACAGTGAAATCCTAATTCGATTACTCAAAACAGACAGGAGTCAATAACGTAGCTTTTAAACCATAATGCGAGTCCGAAAAGAATCTTACTACAAAAAAGGTATTTAAAAACGTGCCAAAAAAAAAAACAGGAACAGACCTTATGATATTTTTAAAATATTCTCTCTTTAAAAAACTACCGCTTTACAAGCTTTCGATTTACATTCTGCAAAAATTGCAGACTGGCTATGAAAAACTTGAAAATGCTTATTGTTTTTAACCAAAGAATGTTTTAAGAAATCCTATTAAGAAAGACATATTAAGCTACTAATTTACATTCCTTAGCAATGGATATTCCAAAAAGAAAAAACGGCGAACTGGAGAGGTTGACTTTAAGAAATGTATAATCTGTCAAAAGGAGACAACTGAAGCACTAGTACAAAACATTAGCATCGATGCTTATAAAAACATCTTATTCTACGTGTTCTCTCGAGGAAAATATCGTGAAAGTGAGTTTGCAGAGGCAAGTAGGCGTTTAGAAGGTGTGTCAGAGGAAGATCTTAAACAGAGTAGTGCCAGCTTTCATGCCAGTTGTCGGAAAAGCACTGTAAGTTTTGAGAAATTCAAAAGGGCCCACTGAATCTGCACGTGCATTTCGACGCAACGAGCTAGATCGATTTTATTTGACCGCAGCAAAAATTGCTGTTATAGATTCTGCAGTTGAAAACTGTTCAGATAGTGACTTAAAGACAATTTTTCAACGCTCTTAGATTATTCGCCAAGAAATATTAAAAGCAAAGAATTGGCAATTTGATGGGAAACTGGACACAGACACGAGATCGATCTTACCCTTCTTCAGTGGATTCTTTCGGGTGTTGCGACTGAACTTCAAACAGAGAAACGCGTTGATGACGTCAGCAAAAAAGCCATTCTTATTTCACAACAAATCATGTTTGAAGTGAAAACAGATCGACAGGTAAAGCATGCACCCAAATCTGACGAAACAGAGAAGCCATTCCGACATCAGCGTGAATATCCATTGCAAGTTGGAGTAGGTGTATTAGCCCATCAATAGTTTCGAAGCAGATCTTTGACTGACCTACTACACAAACTTGGTGTGTCCGTTGACTATATACGCATATTACGCATTGAGACTCAGCTCGCTGAAGCCCTTCTAAGACATTCAGCTGATCGCTGCATCTATGTTTTCCCAGCGTTAGCAAGAGGCCAATTCATCTATTTTGCTGTTGACAACTCCGATTTTTCTGAGGACACTCCCGAGGATAAAAACACTCTGCATGCTACAGTAATGGCCGTCTTCCAAAGGAAAACAGACTACCCACCTGAAATTACTTTAGATCTTAGCAAGATCGCTAAATCCAAATCTCTACCATCAAACTCCATACCTGCGACAGAACTTTTACCATGCCATGTGCCCACTAACGCTCAGCCAAAGTGCCCAAGGTATTGCCGATTAGAAACAAGCTCATCTCCAGACATCACAGATGGTGCAGCACAAGATGATTTGGCATGGTCAGTAGCGCAATCACTTGCACGATCACGCTCTGAGAATCCGATGATCCCAACGTGGGCGGCGTATAATTCTAAAGTCAGTTCATCAACGCTACCGCTCACCACCGTTGCCATGATGCCTTTATTAGCGGCACCCGCAAACGAGTGGAGTACCATGCTGACAGTGCTTAAGCAAGCTCAGAATATTACAACTGTGGTATTGGGTGAAAGTCACAAGACAGTGATAACCTTTGATCTTCATCTTTATGAGAAGGCCTTCAAGCTGCAACAACATACCGCACGAGTGCTAGATCACCTTGTTCTCCGGTTAGGCGAACTGCACACAGTAATGGCAGCCTTACGTGCTCTTGGAACATCCATTGAGGACAGTGGTTTCGATGATGCTTGGGTAGAAGCTGGGATATATGGGTCCACTACGAAACACCAAATTCTTGATGGCAATCACATGAAGCGCGCCTTAATTGCACACAGTATGACATACTCTGTGCTCTCTGACTTTCATATTGAAGCATTCCTCAAGACAAAGAGGGCAAGTAATTCTTTGCGCATGATCGACTTAACTATTACCGAATGGTACCGCTCTACCTTGCGCAGATGGAGCAACTTGAATTAAGAGATCCTGACTTACAGGAAGGATTCATGAAGGGGAACTTCTGTGTCAACACAAACGACATTCCATTTTGTGCAACAGGACCAGACCATGCAATTGGGCACGCGAACAAAATAATGAAGATCCAAGGTGGCCTTAAGGGTTTGACTCAACAACCAGCAGCTTTGGCAAGATGGTTTCTTATTGCGCCAGAACTGAGTCGATTAGCTGCAGAAGCAGAAACCTTGGTGGGCATACAAACGCACAGCTCTACGCATCACCACGATCTATCAACGGCTGTGATTTATCGTTTTGACGAAAATGTAAAAAAGCTAAAAGAAGTATTCAAAGCAAATAATCCATTTGCTGGCGAAGATTCGGAACTGGTCAATATTATCACCAAAGCTGTCATGCCAGGCCAGGTGAAAGATGCAGTTCTCACACGTAAAGTTGGCGAAGAACTCTTTTCAAAGTTTGGGAAAGAAAGGATCGTAGAGCGTGAACTTAGCGTTTGGAGTCCAATGAAAAAAGTTAACCTGCAGACATTGAAAACAGCAAAGTCAGCTAAGAGAAAAGAAAAGCAACACAACAGCAGAGGTTGCTGCTCTGAGAGATGACAGGTTCTCTTTTCGCCCGTTTTCTCGTTGTGGTTCTTTCAGGACCTAAGATTGACCTCAAGGAAAGTATTAGTGAATTCGAGTTGTCTACATTTCCAAGAGCGCTGTTCAGTTCGGATGGTAACCTTCGCCACTGCATTGGCAGGAGCAAGTTAATGATTATCTTGGAGAATTTTCATCCTCGGAAATCTTCTGACAGAGACGAACACCAATCTCGACGTTAAGGAAGCGTTATCGTTATTGATGGAATGGTAGTCATTCAATCGATGGGAAAGCCAACGTGGGTTCGCACTGGTCGAGATCTTGCATCTCATTTTCTTGAGATCATTGACAGAAAGTCTCTCAAATGTGACGAAGTCCATGTTATTTTTGATAGCTATGACTTTCCAAACTCCTTCAAGGAAGGAACTTGACGGTTTCGTCAAGGTTACAACAGGCCAATGACGTACCAAATCACCAATGATGCTGTCATCGAAAAGATCACGTTCAAGCAGAAGATGTCAACAAGGAGTCTTTGTGTATCTATTTTGCATCTCACATCCTTGAGTGTAAGAAAGACTCCCCGAAGACCTGAATGTAAGTCCAACAAGCTATCAGTTGAACACCTCACCAGTACCCAATTAGAGGCAGACACGCGCCTGCTTCTACATACCATCGATGCCACAGAGAGAAGAGCAACATCCCTCAGTATCCACAGCCCCGACACAGATGTATTGGTGCTGGCGCTTTGGAGGTTTGCAAGCCTATGCGATGAAACATCAGTGGTTGTTGGCACTGGTGACACGCGTCGGTCAATTCCACTGCGTCCTCTATACGACTCGCTTGGAGGTCAACTTGGAGCAGCATTGCCAGGATTCGATGCATTCACTGGATGTGATCAGACGGGTACCATATGTGGAAAGTCTAAAGTCTCGTGCCGGAATACTTTAAGTAAAGCTGAACAACAAGTGTTAAAAGCATTTGCCAGCCTTGGTAGCTCGGCGCACGTTCAAGATGATGTAGCCATGAGACTAGAGCTGAATATGTGCCATCTCTATGCACCCTCAACCCATATCACCACCGTAAAGGAAATGCGATGGTTTTTGTTCAGCAAGAAGCAGTATGCAGATTAGAAGTTGCCACCAACGAGGGCTGCATTGGAGCAGATAATTAAACGAGCCAACTATGTTGCCTTAGTTGGAAGGAATGTGGTACCCCATGCCCAGATATTCCTCTGCCAACATCTCACGGATGGGTTCAAGATGGCAACAGACTACAGGCTGTTCCAGCCATCCTACTTCCTGCACCCAAAGCTGTCTTTGAACTGATCAAGTGTGGTTGGAAAGGAAGTTGCATAACCATGAGCTGTTCATGCAAGAATCATAGCTTGAAATGTACTGACATGTGTGGTTGCTTTGCAACAAAGTGTGAAAACAGAAATGTGGAGGAAGATTCTATTGAAGGCGAAGACAGTGATGCGGAGGATCTTCTTTCTTGTTTGTAGTTTTGTGTGTTGAGACAGAGGTAAAAACTTGTTTCTAATAGAAATAATTCCTTTATCATTGGCTGGTGATACCTTGACATGCTTTAGCAGAATACGTCTATGTATCTATGTATCTATCGTCTGTCGGGCAGTATTATAGAGCAGGTGTCATCTTATAAGTTGCTCGGTGTCCATCTGTCGCACAATTTATCGTGGTCTATTCACTGCGACTATATTGTGAAGAGAGCACGCAAGCGTCTCTACGTTTTGCGTGTCTTAATGAAATCAGGCCTCCCACCAGCTGATCTCATTCAGGTTTATTGTAGCCTTATGCGGCCCATTTTAGAATATGCATCTCCAGTGTGGGCAGCGTTACCCAACTGTCTGGTTCAATTTTCCAGATTGCTCTTATGAGTCGGCACTCCTGCGCTGTGGCTTGCCTACACTGTTGTCGCGCCGTGATGAGGCTTGCAGGCGTTTTATATCTAACATCAAGGAGTCCAGGTTCCTTTCACACCTGCTGCCGCAGCCCACGAATGTCGCTCATGGGTACGGGTTGAGGTCGGGTTTTTCCCGTTCTGATTTCCACTTTGTCAGAACGGACCGCCTTAGTAATTTTGTTACCCATAGTTACTAGGATTTAATTGTTTTTGCCTTCTTGCCATGTGTAATTATGTGTTCTGCGTATTGTTGACCTCCCTTGTAATTTATACACTAAAGGGTTTAATAAACTGATTATTATTATATCTCATAATATAAAATCCTTGACAAAAGTCCTTGGGACAGTACTGCAATATTAATACTTTCTGTCATTGCTCAGTTCCCTCTTAAAACAGTGCATCATTTTCGAAATTTTGTTGCAGTTCTCCCACGCCCCACCCTATACAAAGTTGAAACTCGGAAAAATTCCGGATACACGCGTCCAACATTGTTTGTGGGGTGAGGGGAGGGGTTGGACCTGGATGAATTGGAAAACGCCCCAGAAACGCAAAAGTGTCCCAAGACTTTTGTCCATGATTGTCTGAAAAAGAGGTGGGAAGAAAAAAGGCAGATTGGAGGGTTTTTCAAGCCTGTTAGAGTGTCTTTTCGGGATCCTGATGAAAGATCGTAATTGAACAAACCTTTTCCCAGCTTTTCGGAGTTTTGTGAACGTGTTTTAAGAATTCGCTCGAAACGAATGATATACGCCAGAAATTGTGGAATCTCACAGCGCGTGCTTTATTCCAGAGGATAACATAACTTTAAACAAGACTCACGTCCGAAAACGGTTAAGGGAAGCAACGAGTTACTAACATTACGGTGTACGCAGTAAGAATTTTGGCAGGCCAAAGAGCTAGAGTCGTGGATATACGACAAAGCACGAGGTCATTTACCTGGTAATAACTTGCTTAGAGATGTCAACATTACAGTCGCCAGTACTCAATAAGAGTACGAATGTCAAAAAATCCAGTAGGCTCGGTACAGAAAATAACAGCGTTTTCCAAAAGATATAACGGCCGTGAAAAAATATTAAGCGATGTGAATAGCGGTCCTTGCTATTTGTACAACACAAAAATACGACAGGAGCTATAAATGCAATAGTGATGTAAGAAAAACACGGTTGTTTCATAATACTTCTGGTTCGTGGCAAAATAGTTTTTCACTGACTTCTAGAGAATTGTGCCCGATCATTTTTGGTTTGAAAGTGTTGCTAATTTTTCTGGTTTATTTGCTAACAAAAATTACGTTGCGTGATATTTGTCACGAACTAAGTAAACAACCAAGTGAGTTTACTTTGAACTGATTTGCATAGCTGGACAGTACGCACCAACAGTAAACACACTAGAACCTTAATAATGTCTGCTTTTTCTATAGAATCTTAACATCTTAGGGATAGTGAGAGAAAATTTATCTGTAGATACATCCTTTGATGCTTTTATTTACAGCGAAGACGCAATTTTTAGCTCTTTAGTCACAGTACTCACTTTGAAATGGAGAGAAGGAAGAACAAGATAATTTTTCCTTACTGAATCAAGTGAGTACTGTTGTATTCACTTTACGGGATGGTCTTTTTGACGCATATTATTTCAAATGCAATTACTTTTTGGTTGAAATATACCTTAGCCGCATTTCCTTAATGAATTTGTGGCGAATATTGATAATACGCTGTGCTTTTGCAACCGAGTACTGTGCGCGATGCTGGAAACATCGTGCCTGACCAACTTTCGCTGTACTCGGCCGATATGGCTAATCAGGGAATAGCCTTGTAAAAACTTGCTGTGTTGAGAAAATAGTTTCAAAGGTCATTATTATTGCATGTGATCACCTACTCGCCTCCAAAATGCCTAAAAAGCGTAGGAAAAATGAAGAAAACAGACTTTTCTCCCCAAAACCAGGATTCGACAATCCTGGACAAAAGTCCTTGGGACAGTACTGCAATATTCATATTTTTCTGTCATTTCTCAGTTCGATCCCTCTTAAAACAGTGCATCATTTTCGACATTTTCTTGCAGTTCTCCCTCGCCCTACCCTATACAAAGTTGAAACTCGGAAAAAATTCTGGATACACGCGTCCAACATTGTTTGTGGGATGGGGGAAGGGGTTGGACCTGTGTGAATTGGAAAATGCCCCAGAAACGCAAACGTGTCCCAAAACGTTTGTCTATGATTGTAGACGTCAACACAAATTTATTGCATCTCTGTCGATTTGCATAATTTTAAATTTATTGAATTCATAAAAGAGAAATGTTCATCAAGTTGTATTTTTGGATAGGTTGACAATACAAAAATGATTATTGCCAAAATTCTCACCCGCGTGCAACCGATTTTATTCGCTCATTTGTAAACTTTAAAATCGGTGTATGAAGTCATTACTAATTAGCATATATAAAAACAATGTTATGGAAAACAAAATAATAAGGTAACTTGGGTCAAGCTTTGGAAATGTGACCAAAAATAAAATTTTTTATCGCATTTATTTATTTTGGGTCCCAGAGAAGCCCTTAAAATGTTAGTCGATGACGTCATATTTCATTTGCATAAAAATGACGTCACCATGGCTAAAAAATTGGTGACACAGGTTTTTGAAATCAGCATGCTCAAAACCATAGATTCCAGCTTAGAAACTAAAATGATCATGAAATTCCTACGGAAGTGACAAAAGGCCCCAGACTAATTATTGTACAATTACTTAGGTATATATGACGGACACTGTCCCATTAAACTGTTATAATCATATTTAGAACAGCATTTAGTAGTGGTAACCGGACTCACATTGGAATCAGTTCCGTCTGTAATCATCGGAGTGATTAGAGAAGACTGTTTCTCAGTATTCCTTTTTTGGGCGTAAACGACTATTTAGCAAAAAAGGCAAACTGAATAGTAGCACCTCCTGTTTTGCAGACGTAAACGAGTGCGCAACAAAAAAACACAACTGTAACAGCAGCTCCATATGCCATAACATCAAAGGATCCTTCCGATGTATCTGCAGGGAGCCAGGATACTTCTCGAATGGCGTTAATTGTACAGGTAAATATACTTGGATTTTTGAAAACAGGGTTAGCAAAAATATCAACTCATTCTACTATTTGGCAACTTAAAACAACAAAACTCATTCAAAGGCAGATTAAAAACCTTTCTCTGACGCCAAGCAGTAAGTTAATGGTCCCTAGAAGCGTTCCAACGAGTCCAAATTTAAAATGACGCAAATTTTAGAACATTTATTCAGTAAACTGACTTCGCAAAGTTTCAAACCGGTGCCATTTCAGTCTAGAAATTTTTAAGTTGAGTGAACTGCAGCGAAAGAGTGCCTGGTTAAGGCTTACATAACAACTTAGATAGTTAGCAAAACGCCACTTTTGTCGCGGTCCGATAAACAACAGGATTCCACATGGAATAGACAACAAACTGAATGAAACATAGTGCACAAATTATCACCTTCTTATCTGCAAAAACCGGCCTATGGTGCAATGCCATTAGAGCCCGCTGAATCTAGACCTAGATCCAATTTTCCTGAGTCGAGAGCTGCTTTTCCAAGGTACAATCAGCTAGGCTAAACACCGACGAAACAATATTAATGCCTGGAACAGAATATTTGGCGAAACCGCAGTTTAACCACGCGACCACATACCTGTCAACATCATGCGGAAATCACACAATCACAAACTTTCGCGGCGCCGATAAGACTATCCACAACCACGCGTAATCTTCTCACTTTTAACATTAGAAAAAATATCATCGAATAACTCGGAAAAACTCAGCCTATTGCCAGATAAACACCTCTGGACTTTTCTCTTGCACTCGTCTTATTCAAGTTCCCGGATGTAGAGTCACACGGTCGGCGGATCACCATAGCCTTGTTTTCACACCAGAAAGTCTTGGCCCGGGTCAAAATTCACCTGCAATTTTGCTCTCACCTATTTCATTTGACTCCTAAGAGGCTGTTCCCGAGGCCAAAGACTTAGAAAAGCGAACAATATCGTACCTTTCTGTCTCAGCCCGGATCAGGGTGACTTATCCGTTTAGCCAAATGAAACGAGAATATAATACGATAATACGTAATAACTTTGTCCCATCTCAGAGCTTTACATGATGCTCTCCAGGAAACTTTTCTGTCTACATCCACTTCTACACAAAACAAGCAAACAAAAGACAAAAGCAAACAGCACAGTAAACAAGCTATTAGACAGGGGAAGTTGAGAAAAATTACAAAATGTTTGTTAACCCGGTTTTCATAACTCCAGGTAGAAATATATGCTGTACAATAATTGAGATTGTAAATACCTCTGAAAAAAAGGCCTATGTGTGATCAGGGTCTATCAAATGGTGAAAGCATTGTCGTTATCACCATCATTGATATCTCGTTTATTTCCCCTTTTTCGTTGATAGTTATTAGAGACCTTTAGATTCTAAGACGAGTACGACTACGAGTACGAGATTTTCTCAGTACTAAGTAGTGCCCGCGCGTGAACCAGCGTCGTTTTGGCGGGAAAACGTGGTAGCCGTCGTCATTCTACTACGAGTTTTAGCGAGAATGTCGAAGTAGCGGAAACAAGTTATCAAATGTTAGAAGTTTTATCATTTTGCGATCCGGAGAGCGTGTAACTTTCTTCACTAAAGGTAACAGGGCATAACTTTTCTGGTGAAAAATGCTAAAATGAAGCTTTCCGGGGAGTCTATATTTTGAGAAGACGCGAAGAAACTTAAAGTCAAATCTCGTACTCGTAGTCGTCCTCGTCCTTGAATCTAAAGGTCTCTATTTTAAAGAAAAAAAATCAAAGGAGAAAGCTTTGTGGAATTCCTTTGGTTTCAATTTGATAAAAGGACATGAAGTTTTGACACGTTCTTTAAGGTTAAGTTATAGCGGAGCTCCACGCACACGCGAAGCGCGCGTGTGGGCGGAGCCCCATAGCTAAGGAAATTTACCCATCCCAAAAAATTTGGTAATCACGTGACCGTACACCGAGCGACGGCCCGTCCGCACCACAGGGAAACCAATGTTTACTTTCACACTTTCTAACCACTTTGGGAGCCCAGGAGGAAACTGATTGCACATCACTGTTGTGATCAATCATTGATAATATCCATGGATCAACTGACAGCTGTCAAAACAAGGTATCCACTGACCAGTATCTCCTGACTCTATCGCGGGCTCAGGTGTCGACCCATCGAAGTCGAATACTTTTTTGAAGTTATCCGCTGACAAGTTACTAGTTTTCAAATGATCGCAGGCTCAAGTTTATTTTTAAGCAAATTCATAGCAGAGCTCTCGCGCGCGCAGCGGAGCACCATGGGTAACAAAATTTGGTAAACTATCCATCCGAGAAAATTTGGTTATGACGTGGCGTAGGCCCGCCCGCCCACCCGTACACACAATTCATGTAAGCCGATGACAAATGTCACAATAGGTCTTGCACAACTTGACTGGCCTATCAGCTATGTAAGCCATCCGTATGAGTATGATTAGATTGACAGCTGTCAAAATCAGACATCCACTGACAATTATCACATGACCATCTCACGGGCTCAGATGAAAAACCAGTCGTTTTGCCCTACATATAAGCTGATATAATATGTCACACTTATCAATTCAACATAAAAACGAAACTACGCCGGGCAGGGCTGTCAGTCGGCTGACAGTCGTTTAGAGTTATATTGGCAAACCAAATTAAGGTCAATTGACAGCTGTCAAAATGGGACATGTGCAGACCACTATCAGAAAACTAATAACGTGGTTCGCTTAGGTACACGATCTGGCATTTTCCACTACAAGCCGAACTGATATGTCTTACTCATACTCGTAGTCTGTTAATTCGAATATTCGCCATTCTAATGAAGGTTAATTGACAGCTGTCATAGTAGAGTATACGCTGACCATCATCACCTGACTGTATTGCGGGCTCATTTTTCTATCCATTGAGGTCACGTAGTTTTTAAAGTTTTGCGCTGATATTTTATTTGATCACGGGCTCAATTCGAAGCCCCATGGCTTAGACAATCTACCCATCCTAGAAAATTCGGCAATCACATGACCGTACACTGACCGCCCGACCTTCCGTCAGTCCGCACCACAGGCATACCAATGTTTAATCTCACACTTTCAAGCTAGTTTGGGAGCCTGCAAACTGATATTGTACATCCATGTTTTGATTAATTGACAGCTGTTAAAATAGTGTTTCTGTTGACCAGTATCGCCCAACCGTATCGCGGGCTCAGGTATCGACCCACTGACTTGGAGTGTTTTATGAAGTTATCCGCTGACAAGCTGCACTTTTAAAATTTTGATTTTGAACCGACCTCAGACGCGAAAGTTCAACTGGCTTTTACATGCAGGGAAGGCACTCGCTATAGACTTTTCCCACTGTCAGGCGTTGATCACGCGCTACGTCCAATTTTTATGTTCTGATTGGTCAAAATTTGACAAGTGAGTTCATGTGGAAAATTTATGCAGCGTCTGGAAACTAGCTTTCTGATAGCTGAAGCTGACAGAGTTTTGTGTCATCTTGTGATGTTTTAAAATACAGCTGCTGTCAAGATTGTTCTGTAATTCATGGCTGGTTTGTTTATTGCGCTTTTTGTTGACAAATGCACCGCTTGTCAAAGTCATTGGAAATCCGATTTCGGATGGCATCGTTTTCAAAAATGAGCTTACCCACATGCCCTTGCCTGAGGCGTAAGAGGGTTGAAAAGTCTCAAGCGATTCTGGAACACTTGATGACCTTCAGAAGCAGCATCTCGACTGGTAAGCCTCAGCAATTATTGTCTTTGATGTGTTTTTTGTTCGATTCTTACCTAAAGTGAATCACACAAAGCGTATGGTTCTCGTACCCGAGAACACCTTGTAAAGATTACAGCAGCGCCAGCAGATATTAACCCCACCCGTCACACAAACTCTGAGAAACTTGGACAGTGAAATGACCGATATTATATCCATCAAGGAATTAGATGATGAACAAAAAGCTAGACTTTACAACCAAGTGTTGCAGCGAAACTTGACTTTCCACGATCAGCGAAAAGGTCAACCTCTTCATGTGAAAATATCAACCCCCAAAGCAGTAGAAACACCTAAACCCGAAGAGAATGAGCAACCTACGGAAGAACCTGCCCCAGAAAAAGCTATTTCATCAGCTGTAGAGTAGGAAGTCATGAACAGTGTACCCAAGCCGGGGCTAGACAATTGTTGGATAAAATTAAAGAGCACCAAGATGTCTTGCATTGGAATGATAAAGCGGAGCTGTTGTATGAGACCAAACCCATTCCAGGTTCTCATCTAGTCGACCTAGTCAACAACACATTGCGCCACCGCAAAGGATTTGAGCCGGTGGGATGGTCCGTGTTTGCGAGGGGTCTGGCGCGAATGAATGTCCCGGAAAATCTAGTGCATAATCCACAGAGGCAAAGTGTTATTCGAGAATTTAAAGCAAGGGTGAGAGATGAAACCCCTAACAGTCTTTCTGGATGGTTACCTAGCCCACCTGTGACGGTTTCCCCCGTGAAAAAACAGCGGCGAAGAAACGCGAGTCCGCGCCCTGAGGCTGTGCGCTGGTTACGGTTATAAAATCACCACGAGAGACATTATTATTATTGTAAATCATCTCTTTATTTTGTTCACTCAATAAAAGACGTTGAAAAGAAATTACAAGGTGTTTGTTTATTGAACGTTGTGCTGGGCTTGTGCTCTTTGCTTGTTTACATCACTGCGATATTTCGGAAGACTTATAGGAAAATGTTTTTCAATAAATCGCTTGACAAGACTATCATTTTTACGTGTTTTTTTAGAAAAACGATGCAAAATTGTACTCATACTTATTTGCTGACTACGATATAAAGCAAAATACAAACAGCAATGTCCGCAGACTTTGGAATAGATGCTCTGTAATGTCACAGTATTAAAAATCCACTTGTTAGAATTGTTGTTTAAAAAGGTAGTAAATGTTCCTGAATATTTGCTGGGAGGTCTCCGTAAGAATCGCAAAATGCTCCCTCCTGCTCCTTGGAGAAATAAAACGCCACCCAATGCGAACCTGGCTTCTCACTCGTATCCACATTGGCAATGTATAGGGCTGGGTATTGCGAAACACTTGCAGGCAGCTTGTCTGAGGGATACACGCCTTGAAACACACCTCCTGTAAATTTGACCTTTCTCAAAATAAGGGTCAGTTGAATGGTGTCCATTTTTAGTTTGTGTAGTCGTAGAGAACGTTTCGGTTTGCGCCGACCTCAATCACATTTTGAAATTCAGCGTAGACAATAAGGTTAACCGTGTTGGCGAGTGCTTCCGAGAAATGAAGCTCCAAGCGCAGGTTTCCTTGTTTTTTCAGCTCAAAATGATCTCCCGGGCAGTGATCTAGGGTCAAATCAAATGCGAATAAGGTGTAACCAGAGCCATAATCACTTCTATTTATCTGATTGCCCGTATCCTGGGAAAGCTTTCCAATACCAGAGAAAAGACTTTGATAGCCGGCTATCACATTTTGACCACCCGCGGCGTCAAAATTCAGGAACAAAGGTTTTCGGGGAATTTGTTCTCCGTCCACGTACACACCCACTTGAGTTAAATTGTGGTGTTTGAAGTAGGAGGGGTTGGTACGATAACTCCCATTGTAAGCCTCTGTGTCCGCTAATCCCAATACTATGCGATTGGGAATTTGACCCAGAAAGATGTTGTCAGGGTTAAAACTGCTCAATCCTCTTGGAATAGAGAGCACGTTACAGTCGATTCTGCGAATGGGGTACTTGGCGCTGGAGTGTTTTAGCACAGCTGCATGTCCTAGAATGATAGCAGAGGCAACCTTCACTCTGCGTACAAACAAGATGGCTTCTGTGACAACCACTTTGAAATTAGCTGCGGCTGCTGAGGACACAAGACAAAAAAAATTCTTCGCTCGGTTCGATTTGATTCTTAAATTAACTCCATTGAGCATCAACCGGTCTTGAAAGAATATATCACTGTGAATGGGTCCCATCATATCCACAGTATGACTCTCTTTGGTAAACTCATAGCGAGCCTTTAATCCAAGGTTTGCTTCATCGTCTGCAGCCAAGGGGTTCACTACATTCATCTTTCCGGCAGTATCTGTGTAAAACATGGCCATAGAAAGTGGACTTGTTTTAGCTTCTTCCCTGTAGTTCAGCAAAGATTCGATCATGGCACGATAAGGCTAAGTATTAGAGGATGCAGATATAAGTCGCTCATTCAAGGAAACGTCTACTTGTGAAAACACGGAATGTAAAAACAGGTTTACGGGACCCACTTGTGTATCGACATCTAACGCAGTTCCGTTTGCTTTCGTGATCTTAGCTTTCATATAAAGTTGTGTTCGCGCTAAATCTAAATATTCTTCTCCGGTTCCAGATACGTTAAATTCAATAGGACCAGTGTCCGTGATGTTGCTGAGAGGGTGATATTCAATCCATTGCCCTTTCTGAATAGAGGTTTGTGTAGCAGGAATAACAAAAAGATCGAGCTCTGATTTAGTACATTCGCGTGACTCGCGATGAACGAAGGCCATTCTATTCTTTGTCAAAAAATTCAGTCAAGTTCCCTTTTTTAGGTTTCTTTGCTTTCGGAGATGTTTTTGCTTTCTTGCCGGGAGGCGAACTGATTTTTGAGCCTTTTGTGTCCCTGCAATGAATTCTGGGCAGGTAGACCGAGGGCTTGTTTAGCCCGTTTGCTGATTGCCTTTTTAATGTTGTCTCCATCAAGAACATCTTGGGGGACATTGACACCCGTTTGTAAAGCTTTTTTTCCAATCACCTTAGCACCTTGTTGCAGGTGAGGCATCGCCCAGCGGAACAGACCTTTAAATATGGATCCTAAGTCATAACCTCTCTGAAATCGAGCTCCGTGAAATGCGGGTAAATTCCCACCTTTTTACTTGGTTTGATCAACATAGTACTGTTCGTAGAACTTATGATTTGGGGCGTGGAGTTTTTTCATTTTTAAAAGTACTGAGGATGACTCTGACGAAAATGAAGTGTTAACAACACTCTTCCAAACTCAAATGGCACAGATTCCCCTGTGTCTCGCTTTATATTGACTTCGATGGTTTCAAATTGCTTTCTGTCGACAGGTACATATTGAGGGCGCACAAACGATTTACTGACTCGCTGATCAACCTCTCCTTCTACGGGAACAATTCGAAGCAAAGGGACCAGTGCATCGCCAACATATTGTGACTGAATAAGATCACAGTAAACGAAAAGATCGTGAAAGCCGTATTCCAAATCCACTTGTCTGTCCCCCTTGGTGGTCTTTGAAATAATTTGTTTGGGAGTGAACCCCAGCATATAGGCCAGCCATATCATTTAGCGAGACTTCTGCGTTGTTTTTCAAATGAACCGTAACCTTTCTGCTGAGATTATCGTATGAAAACCGTACATCATCTGTATACCGATTTTCATTGTCCACTAACTCTTTCATCTTTTGAAGGACATCCTCGACGGAAGAATAATGACCCGGAAGCATCTCCAGGGAATCCCAAACACCGTGGAGTTTTTCATTTCGAACGTAAAATCGAAACTGTTGAATATTATTCCAGCTATGCGGATAATGGATCTCGGTCAAAGCCACTTCCCATTTGCCTGTAAGGTTTAGGGTTTGTGGTAAACTAACTCGGTACTCTGTTAATGTGTTATGAGGAAATTTATCAAGACTGCTATTGCTAGGGAGATGCAGATAAAACTGTGTTACCTTCATCGTACCCTGTGTTGACATTGCCCTTTTTAATCTAAGTATTCTTAATTTATTAGAAACCACACACCATTCATTTTCTTTTCTTTTCTTTTATTCAATACACAAAAAACGCATAAATTACAACTTCAAAATATCTTTTTCTTGAACCCAATAATCAAATTTTGGGTCTTCGTATCCTTTCCATCTCACAAGGTACTCTACTACTCCTTTACGCTTTCTCTTCCGCAAAATCTTTTGGACGCGGTACACATCATCGTTCTTAATAATTTTCTGCAATTCAGGCTCATAAAATGTTCCATCTAAGATTTCACCTGCACCATCTTTTAGTTTATAAACGGGTACTTGACGAGCCATTCGCTTGTAAACTGTAAAAATTTCTTCCGTAAAATTAGGTAAGTAAGATTTCTCAAACATTCTCTTTACTTTGTTAATCCTGACGCGATCTCCGACTTGAAATTTAAATCGCACGGGCTTTTGAACATCATCCCCATACAAAAAATCCCACACTTGAGCTTCATTCGCTTTGGTCACCTGACTCGGTTTCAATTTAATACTTCGGTGGTAGGTGTTATTGTAAGAAGATACTAACTGGGGTAATACATTAATATAGGTGAGAGTGTTTTTGGCCGTGAAATATTTGTACATCTTATTCTTAAATGTTCGGTTAAAACGCTCAACCACTGAGGCTTTGAGCCCAGAGTTAACAGTAAAAAAGTCAATGTTGTTGTCACGCAGAAATTTCTGGAACACATGATTCAGGAACTCTGTTCCTTGATCCGTTTGCAGTTTGGTAGGTTTTCGACCAGTAGAGAGGATCTTTTGAAAGGCTTTGACTAGTTCTTGACCTTGTTTTGTCTTCAAAGTTAACACAAAAGCGTACTTGCTGAAGATATCTATACAAGTCAGTAAGTATTTATAACCTTTGTTGTAGCGACTGAGATTTTGAGGATCGACCAAATCCGCTTAAAATTGGGCATCTATTCCAGGAACGATGACTCGGCTTCTCTTGTAGCGTCTTCGCGCGGGCTTGTGAAGAGTATAAACATCTTGATAACTCAACCATTCTCGGACTTGTTTACGCGATATCGTGGTCTTTCCTTTCTCTTTGATTGCTCTGTAAACAGCATCTAAGCTACCGAAACTTGCGGGTTGGCTTGAGTCGAGATAAATGCTGGTCAGTGTTTTCTCCATCACAGAACTCGGAGTTTTGTACGACCTCTCTACCCCCACAGCAGGCTAATACGCAACGAATGCGGCTAAAGATGTGTTCAAATCCAAAAGTGGACGAAGGAGGACAGCAACCCATCGCTGATGATCGCTATGAAGGTTCAAACACGAATGAATTCTTTTCTCTTGGTGTTTATTTACATAGCTACTCTCGAATCTGGGTGAGAGTGAGCACGAGAAAATTAAATAATAGTTCCCATTCCTCCTCGGTTAATCCTAGCTGATCCGCGAAGTTCAAAGATATCACCAATCGTCCCCAGTTTACTTTTGAAAAGACCTCAGAGTGGAGTTCTTTCAACTTTTCTAGACTCGAACCCGGTAGATCTTTAAGTTTTTGTTGAAGCTCTTCCATTTTACTTGAGGACACTTTCAATGTTTTGGCTTGTGCACGAAACAGAGAAAACTCGACTCGAAGCAAAGAGAGAGAAAGCCCCATCTTGACTAAGGGAGAGACAAACACACACTGACTGAAATTTTATTACTTTTAGAAACAAAGGCTATTTTGAAAGTCATTAATTATCAAGTCAAGGTCCATTGGTTGTTCGTCTTTTCTCACAACTCTTTCAGGGCATTCTATTGTTTCTTGTTGATCACCGAAATCTTTCCATTTGAGCCCATTCGGTCCGTAGTATAGAGCGTATAAAATACGGCTTTGAAGATCATCACCCTGCTGGACAACATCAAGTTCTAGAGAAGCGAGGTAAATACTGGTCCAAGGCATTTTTGGCAGTTCTGAAACGTACGCTTCCCATGAATTACCTAGCTTGAAGCCAAGAGCACTGCATATACTTTCGGTAGCGTTCAGCATAGAATTCAGGTCAATTTGTTCCACCACTTCATCATGGTAATACATCCATGCGTCATCATTACCCATCATGAGGCAAGAATGTTGATTTTGACTTGGGTGTTGAATAGCACAACCGTGGCAGCGATTCAGCTTTTCTTGTTGGATGACTTTGTCAACCATAGCTGCATAAGTCAGCTGGAACACATGGCCGATAAGGCTACAATCGGCGACAAAATTAGTCGAGACACCTCCGGAAAAAAGACGTCTCATGAGTATGTTCTTTTTTAAAAAGGTGTGAAATACCTTTCAATGGTCCCACCTCCCCACTCCCCCTATTCAGTGTTGCACCGCTAGCCTTAAGGTTTGTGGGCACTCGGAGACGACCCAACAATGTCAGGGGGGGAGGGGTGGGGGGACCGTTTCTCAGGGTAGCTCAAAACACCTCTTTTTAGGAAAGTGTCTCAACAATTTTGTCGCCGATTGTCTGAAGAACAAAATAGATGTTAGAGTGTCGAAAAAGGTTACAAGATGTGGTTTGTTGGCGATAATAAGAGCAAAGCATGCAGGTTATTAGTTTCTCACGCAATATGAGGTAATGCAGGAATTAGAACGTTGAGAATCGTAATGTCTCATTCCATTATGGTGATGTAACAGAGGCCTTGACTGTCAGGAGACGAGCAAAAAGGATGGTTTTCCGTAAAAAGATTCCCGAGGAGACAAGAGCTTTTGTGCGATTTACCTCGAATTCCAAACGTTGGTCAGTGAAAGAAGTATTTGAGAAAACGCATATTTCCCGGGCCTCGCCATATCGCATTCGTCATAAAGACAGTTTCCAACAAAGACAGCCAAGGAATGAATATCAATTAGAACGAAGAAAACCCGGTCGCCCTCGAAAATTAACAACACGCGAGGAACGCCTACTGTTGCGGGAAATTCTACGTCTACGGAAAGAGGAAGGTCAGTTCACGGTTAAAAGACTTATGCTTCAAGCTGTAATAACAGCACTACAGGTCTCTAACCGAACTGTCCAGCGTTTTTTACGCAGGAAAGGTTTCCAGTATTTGCAAGCGCGTAAGAAAGGGGTCTTACTGGAAGGAGATCTCATAAAAAGGAAACAATTTGCCAAAAAGATGGAAGAGGACTACGATCAGCATGTATGGCAAAACAGCATCTCGTTTGTTTTGGATGGTGGCAGCTTTATCCATAAATATAATCCACTTGATCAAGCCCGGGCGCCCAAGGGACGTATTTGGAGAAAACCACGTGAAGGTCTCTCTTATGGGTGTACTGCTAAAGGAGCCCATTGTGGAAGCGGGAGAAGGGTAGCTAAATTCATGGTAGCTGTTAGTTACGGAAAGGGCGTCATACTGTGTGAACAGTACGAGACATTAAATGGGAGGTATTTACAATCCTTGGTCGAACGTGAATTCCCAAGAATGTTCACTATAGCAGACAAAGAAGGGCGCAGATTTTTCCTTCAGGATGGTGACCCAAGTCAAAACAGTGCTTTAGCTCGCTCGGCCTGGCGAAAAATGGGTGCAAAACTTTTATCTATCCCACCAAGGAGTCCCGATATAAACTGTATTGAAAATCTATTTCACATCGTTAAGCAATTGCTGGAACAAGATGCTATTAAGTATAACATAACGTTTGAAACTTACGAGCAATTTTCAGAACGGGTCGAAACAACTATTCGAAATCTGAACACTGACATTATTAATAAAACGATCGAAAGTATGAATAACAGAAAGGACTTGATCATTGAAAAGACAGGACAGCGTACGAAATATTATTTAACTGTTTCAGTAACTGAAACGCGTCCTGTAAATAACTAATCTCTAAACTTACAAACGTGGAACTTGTGGCTTGGAATAAAGTCACGTGAATTAATGTCGCGTGACATGTAACATGACTATAAATGCTGATGTGTTTACAACTTGTTTCATAGAAAATAAAACAATTAGCCGCTAACAGCAAGTACAAATGATAATTCCCTTTGGAAAACAGCCGCTCAAACCATTCTTATGCGAGGTTTTGAGGCTTTTAAAAGAGTAACCACGAGTAACCGTGTAAATGACAAAAGAAAATTAATTAAATTACCTTTTAGAACTGAGTTGGTTACTCGTAGTTACTGGTGGTCAGTACCTCTCTTAACTTCAAAAAAGCGGTATTTTTAATCCCAAGAACATTCCGAGTCCCCAACAATAAGCTCGGCAAAGCATCGACCACAAGGTGGTAGTTCTTTTTGCCGGGAACTAGACATTTGATAGTGAAAGGTATACGTTTTCCAGCGAACAGCCATCATGTCTGTTTCCAGCTCGTCTAATACACCACTGCGGATGTAAACAAAGGAACCTTTTGCAGTGGCAAAGATCGGTGTGTCAGATTTGAATGTAAGGTCTTTCGCATAGTGTGTTTTTGGAGCCGGTAGGTGAACTAACTGGCCCTCCAATAATAACAAGAAATCATGCCAGGGTATAATGGACGATGACCACCTGAAGTCATTAAGACATATGCACTCAGCTTTCTCCGCGCCTACCCACGCAAAACTGCCAGAGGCAGGGTCGTGAAGGTATTATAAATCACATTTAAAGGATTCAAAAGAAATGTTTTGGCGCAGTTTGTAGGACCGATTAACATTATATTGCGATGTTTTCCTCTCACTTTCTCTAACAAAGTGCTAACAGACTGTGCAAACCCGGACACTGAAATATCGTTGCGACTTAAAACCTCTTAAGCACACGTTACCCACCGCCCATGACAATCAGGGACGCATTCCTGATGTAGCGAATCATAAAGCAACTGTAACCGGGACTTTTTTTGCCTTTGTAGAGTTTCTTGGGAATTCTCCATGTCCCATGCAGTTTGCAAAACTTCCGCAACGACTTTCGACCCGCGATTCAAAACAAATTCGGGTACGTCTGTTTTGCCTTCCAAGTTTTTGCTCTCTAGCAAAAGCAACTAACTCGGTATACGATTTAATTTTTTTGGCTTCTACAATTTCGGCAAGGTCATAAGAAGACATTCGCTTTTTACGATTAGTTTTTGTTTTTTTCTGCCCGTGATCTTGTCTAATTTCTTCATTGCAATCCGAGGAGTCATCAGGAACCGGTTCCGCGCCATGACTTCCGGTTGAATGTGGTTTATTGGCGAATGATGCCCTCGTAGTTTTAGGGGGCCCATCACTGAGATCCAGATGTCCAGGACTTTGAACAAACTCCTTGTCTTGCTTGGTCACATATTTCCAGGCACTGAAATAATTTCTGTGAATGGCTGAAAAGTGAACGGATATGCCGCAGAGTTCGTAAAGAAACCTTTTGCTTGGTAGCCATCGCTGATTTCTGTCGAGTTTTAGGGCCATGTGAAAATGACTTCCGCCGGACTTTGGATGTTCTTCCAAGCAGCAGGACCAGTGCATGATTTTCGCTGGTGTATCATGAAACGAATACAAAACGGCCTCTACAAATGAATGTCGTGTTGGAAAGCGCACAACGTCGGCCTGGCTATAAGTAATCAGACAAACTTTCCGCACACTTCGAACATCGATTTTATCGTTGGGATTAGCTGGTTTACTTGAATAGTCCAAATCAGCTCGACCAGCATTGTCGGTACCCTCTGAAGAAGATGAGTCAGATTCGTAATCTCTTATGAGATTCATGTCGTAATAACTTAGTGACACCATACAAGCAAGAAACGTGACTAGATAAGTCCTGAGGAAAACAACCTCCTCACACGTGACGTTGTCATCAAATGTCACGCCCCTCCCCTAAAGAAAGTGATTTTACTTGTTCCTGAAGACAACTTTTCACAAGCGGGATATATACCCTACCTGTTAAAAACCTCACACCGACACTGCAGTATCCACCAACTTTCCCGATTTATCCCGCTGTAATAGGGGGTGTAGAACCTTTTCCCGCTCTCAGACAATCGGCGACAAAATTAGTTGAGACACCTCCGGAAAAAAGACATCTCATGAGCATGGTTTTATTTGTTCTTTTTTAAAAAGGTGTGAAATACCTTTCAATGGTCCCCCCTCCCCACACCCCCTATTCAGTGTTGTACCGCTGGCCTTAAGGTTTGTGGGCACTCGGAGACGACCCAACAATGTCAAGCGGGGAGGGTGGGGGGACCCTTTCTCAGGGTAGCTCAAAACACCTCTTTTTAGGAAAGTGTCTCAACAATTTTGTCGCCGATTGTAGCTACCCGTTGACGTTGGACTTTTTCGACTTCATGTACTGTCAGAAGAGGTGTAGCGCTCGATTCGATCTGAATATTTGGAACCATCTTTGAAAAACTATTGGTGATAGTAAGAATTTGTTTCCTTAGCAAAGCGATTGCAAGAGTAATATGCTGATTGGAGAGCCCGCTTTTATTTGGAAGACAGAATAGATTCTACATGAACCAATCAGGGTTAAAAGAGACCGGGCAAGTCTAGGCAAGCCTATTGTTTCTATTGAAGTAGAGGTGACGTCATAGACTAGGCCATTGCTAGGCACTGACTAGGCACTTAATTGGTATGGAGGAAGGCACTTTTTTCCCTAGGTTATAACAATGGGTGACGTCATAGACTCGACCCTTATAACAGATTAATTAAGGGAAGGCACACGGAAGGCAAGGGAAGGCACCAACGGTGTTAATTTCCAACGTAGTAGACTACTGACATAAATATTAACTGTAAATGTTGTCCTTTACGATTAATAAGTGCAAAGCCCGCCTTGCCTTGGGCCTTTTCAGATGAGATTTAACTGGCAGTTTTGAGTTTGTTTTTAACTGATAGTTGAGATCTGTGATCAAAAGAATTCATCGACAGCTAAGAAATAGGAGCGACATCACCACCCAGTTTTCGAAATCAACCAGTCCCGCGTCTCCTTTTTAATCGTTTTCGCACGGGTGACTTGAGTCGCGTATATACAAACATTTTCTTCGTCTTCGCAATGCCGAAAAAAGAGAAAACGCTCCCCTATTTTTCCGTCTCCTCCCAGGCAAAGCAAAATTTAAAATTTGTATAAATACAGTATAAATTTTTAGCTGCTCTAATACTTCATCAAAGTAAAACTTCAGGAGGATCGATAATTCTTTAGTTTGAAAATTTGAGGACGTTATGTGAAAACTAGCAATAAATTTGTATGGCTGCTGGCCATGTGAGTGAAAACGCTCCTTATGTCTCTCACGGGAAGGAAGATCTCCTGATACTGGGGCGTTGGCGTTACTAGGTCTCAGAATATAAGCCAAGCAACAACAACAATAACATTCGGTGAATTTAATCTAATAATTGCATCTGCTTTCGCTTAATTATCCAGATAGAAGCTGCAGTGACATTAAAGTTCGAAGTCCGCAGGCCACGAGTGGCTCTTACGTCATCGACCCTGATGGCGATGGAGGCAACGAACCTTTTAACGTCTTTTGTGACATGACTGACAAAAACGGTGTTGGTGTGACCGTGGTAGGTCACGACAGCGAAGCTAGAACGCTAGTTGTTGGATACGAAGCACCAGGGAGTTACGTGAAACATATCACCTACAATGCAACGGGGCTTATCGGCGTGGCACAGTTAGCAGGCCTAGCAGATGTTTCCACTCACTGCGAACAGTTTATTAAGTATGAATGCTATGGTGCCCTTCTTTTCAGAGTTGATGAGTGCTGGTGGGTATCACGTCACAATCAAAGTATGTTCTATTGGGGAGGAGCTAAGCCAGGTGATAACCAAACGTGCGCTTGTGGGGTGACGTCGCCAAACTCGTGCGCAGACCCCTCTTTTGGATGTAACTGCGACAAGAATGATTACACGTGGCGCGAGGACAGCGGTTTCCTCACTGAGAAATCCCAACTTCCTGTGATAGAGTTAAGGTTTGGGGACACAGGTAACTCACCAGAGAAAGGCTATCACACCCTTGGAAAATTCAAGTGTTACGGTTAGTTAGCCCAATATTAGGGTTCCTTAGTATTAAGCCAGATAAATCAAAACAATAAAGGAAGTTAAGTCACATTAAATCCAACTGCTATCCAAAGTTTAGATTTGTTTTTAAGTGGCTGTGTCACCGCTGTCCAATTCATTTTGTTTCTAGATATTGTCTCTAATGCCATTAGCCTCCCACGCAAGCGTTTCTTTGGGAGGGTAGGGACGAAAAACGAGCCC